CTGTTCGCCCCGATAATGTTTCTAGGTTTGTCAGCACCATTCCCGTGCTCATGGGTGTCCCCGAAATGGTAAACGTCTGGGACCTGCATCACTTCGGACTTTCCTCCCACATTAAGCTGATACGCCGTGATATAACTGGAATACTGTTAAAAGCGGCATTAAACCCAACTCACTGACTGCTTCAAGACGCAAGGCGCGAAATAGTTAAATATAAAAAAAAGGTGTTCAAACATGTTCTCTGATGAAGCGTGTGTCACTGGATGGCAACGTGGAACAGATATTCGCACATTTCTTGGCCAATGAGTGCAGTGCAGTACAAGTCAATACAGATACATGGTAAGGGCTGAGAGTTTTCTGATATAGTTATGGAACATGTCTACTATTTCAATTTACACACATTACCTCTATAAAAGAAAGGTATACCGCGTTACCACATCATAGTGTAGTTGTAAACCACATCACTTTTGAGTATCAAGAACATTGTATCAAACATGAGTCGCAGATTTACTCTCCACTCAGAGGTCAGCAGTATTTCAGAAGAGGAAGATAGCTTCAACCTTGCTGTTATTGGAGATAGCAGTGTAGGAAAGTTAACCTTAATCTGCAGACTCATCAAACACTGGACAGAACGGAGCAGCAAATCCCACAAGAAAAGTAAGAAACGTGGTAACGCTCGAGTTGATATTGGAATCAAAGGGCGATTTGCCAACGAAACAAATTCCTGACTGCGTTGACAATAGCGGTATGATTATATTCATGGATCAGTGATGACCCAGTCGTTTGCAAAAAGAAGCTGTTGCCTCAGATGAATAGATGAAGTTTTTGCCGAAACAGTAAGCTCTTAGAACTCTTGTTTGTCAGCTGGGACCATGTCAATACATCATGTATGAAATGTATGTAACACGTCCCATTTTAATTCTGGAAACCCAAAAGTCCAGAAACTCTACGGTCTTTGCCGACTCTCGGTCAAAGGTATTTACAAAATTAAACATGCCGTTTTCATGGGAACATACCAAGGAAGAAAAAATGAAAAGAAAAATTGTTTAAAAACTCAATATTTACACTATCTCGCCCATGGGTAGACTGGCCCATGGGTAGGCCCATGGGCAGGCCCATGGGCGAGAATATGTTCCTTTACTTAAAACTCATGTTTTTGTTTCGCAAATACATTAGTGTATTTATTCAAGTATCATGACACAAAATTTAACTCATTTTAACTTAATTCAACTATTTTATAGCGATATTTAAATATTTCGCCCATGGGCGAGAAAAAGGTTTGGCCCATGGGCGAGAATATGTTCCTTTACTTAAAACTCATGTTTTTGTTTCGCAAATACATTAAATGTAGTCATTCAAGTATCATGACACAAAATTTAACTCATTTTAACTTAATTCAAATATTTTATAGCGGTATTGAAAAATTACGTCCATGGGCGAGAAAAAGGTTTGGCCCATGGGCGAGAATATTTTTCTTTGCTCAACAGTTTTAGTTTCGCAAATACATAAAGGTTTTATAAGCATGACACATGATTCAACTCATTTTACCTTAATTCAACTATTAAAATATTTCGCCTATGTTTTCGTCAGTCCCTTTAAATAATTAACTAATATAATTGTGTACAGAGTGTATTGTATCATGTGAAATATACTTTATATTATATCATTACATTACTATTTAAAAAGGGCCTTTGGTTGGATGTTTCCTTTACAGAAGTTTTACAAATTTCACCTTTTTTACATATTGCAACGATACGCCAATTCATTGGCGACATTTTCCAACACATTAAAGTTTAGTTAGTTTCTTTTTCATTTCCCATTTTATGTCTCGTTGAAACATCACACTGGGAAAGTAAGTGAAACTAAGTATGCAATATACAGGTACACGTGCGCGTATTTTAATGGCAACAAAAAACGATTCGTCTTTCATTGCATAACGTCTGGCTGAATATCTCGAAATAATTATTTAATTATATGCGGTGTCGAACCGACCAATGGGAATTATGTTTACAGGCGATTGAGGAAAACTTGAGTGAATATTATAACACTAAAGCAACTTTTAAATGCATTGTCACTTTTGGTATGAAAATGGTAACAGTTAAGAAAAACGTAACACCTTCTTATGATAATTCTCATATTCTCGTTAGGACGTTGTATCTAATTATAGTGTCGGCCTTATTTACAGGTGATTCTACAATACCTGCTCTCGGTCAATTACGATCTACCACACCACGCGTGAATAAACAGTTATGCAGGTGTTGCTGTGGGCAAATACCTAGCCTGAAAATGTACATTTATTTTGTGGATACATGTTTTACAAATTTTCGTTGATATGTAGATATATTAAGCACAAAGACAAAAAACAAGAAATGTGAAACATCAATGCTAGAGAATAACCAAATTCGATTTACCAACGTAACAAATTTCTTTTGCCGTAAACGTTGACAATAGCGGTAAAAATATATTTATGGATCACTGAAAATAAGTTGATGACACAATTGTTTGCAAAAATATGTTGTTGCCTCAGATGAATAGATGAAGTCATGCCGAAACAGTAAGCTCTTAGAACTTGTTTGCCAGATGGGACCATGTCAATATATCAGGTATGAAATGTATTTACATGTTGAACGCATTGACCGAGAGTATTATTATCTTGAACGAATTCTGCAAACGAAGTAGACATTTGGGATTCCATTTATGCACACGAAGATGTTTCATTTATCAAAATATGCCTGTGTTTGTTTGAAGGAAACCTGTTCTTCACCGACTTTGCTGCAGGCTTCAATGCAGGGTTGGAGTACACAAAAACTATTCAGAGACAATCAATTCAATTAATTTATCAGTGTAACTGCCAGTGCAAATGAAGAATGTTTATTATAACATGTCATTGTGTGTATATATGCGAATTCTGATTGGCAAGCGCTGCATGTTTCGACTCAAACCATAATAAACGCGAGAATGCGAGATCGCGACACCTGACCAATGTTGTTATCTCGCGATCTCGCGTTCTCGTGCTTTTGTGTCAATTGCCTTTTCAGTCATATGCAACTCTTTTCAAAAACGCGAGAACGCGAGATTGCGACCCTTGACCAACGTTGCGATCTCGCGTTCTCGTGCTTTTGTGCCAATTGGCTATGCAGTTATATGAAACTATTTTCAAAAACGCGAGAACGCGAGTTTGCGACACTTGACCAATGTCGCTATCTCGCGATCTTGTGCTTTTGTGTCAATTGCTTATACAGTTATACGCGAGAACGCGAGATTGCGAAACTTGACCAATGTCGCGATCTCGCGTTATCGCGTTTTTCTGCCAATTACATGGACAGTGACCTAGTGGCTCAGTCCTCTAAGGCGTCGTAATTCGCTGTGTACGTAAAGTTGCATCCCTTGGGCGTGCCAGAAACCTATGATGGTGGGTTTCGTCCCATTTGAAGCTGACAAGCCAGGGAATAACTGAAATATAAATACTGTTCAAAGCGGTGTTAAGCCAAACTCACTCACTTATTCAGAGCCATGCCGGTCCCTGGATATTGGGGGTACTTATTCAGTATAGAGATGTTATTGTTTTCTTATCGAACTATTTAAGGCATCTGTGTACAATTGCTGTCGAAGGATGCGATTCACATGCATCATGCGTGTTCAATGGGGCTACGTGCACGGAGTAGGAACACACATATTAGCGATATTTCTATTTCTAGGAAGTTTGAGGCAATAGAATAATGTAAGGCGGGATGTTTTGTAGTTAGGTGGGAAAGGATGATAATCTATTAATTAATTTTGTATGGCCTAAAGTAGCGACTATGGTGTCGTGGAAAAACATCGGACAATCTCATTTTAGCCGAATGCTACAAATTGGACTTGGAGAATTTTGTTTTAATGAATAATAATGTGATTATTTCTGTAACTGATACAGCAATACTGCTGATGTAGCTTTAAGCAATATTTACTCCCTCACTGACAGTGGTATATATTTTTTCCACGCCTTCATGTAACTGGAATACTGTTCCAGTTGGCTCATTTCTGTTATTACTTGATCCATCAACCATTAGACCTGTGAAGATAAAAAAACACGGATATGTAATAATGATATGTTCCAATTAATACTGGAAGTACGTGTCAAAATGTATTCACCGAGAGCACCGAGGGCACCGAGAGCATTATTGTTAATCAGAACGTTTCGACTCTCACATCGGCATATATTTGAACTCATCACCCATCACATATTTGGCAATCATCACTGACGAGCTATGAAATCAGAAGCTGTTACAGTTTAATTTAACAGGATATCATTTACTGAGTATGTTAGGTTGCTTTGTCATAATTAGGTTTTATATGCATGAATTACAGATTAAAAGAAATTAAAAAACGTAATTCGTAAATTTCGTAAAACCTTATTGACAAACGTTATGAATGCATGTGTGGTGATTACCTGTGTTCAGTTAATGTTACAGTAAGGAAGCTGTATCCAACTTATATCCGCAGTAGTGGTAGGTATTTGACCGGATAATCTCTAAATTGAAAACAGAAGTCCGTCTGCGGGTTCTATTGGTCTTATTGTGCCCAGACATACTGTAACTGTCCAGACAAAGTGCTGATTATATTCTTAGTAAGGTGAGACAGCCAGACCACGTGTATAGCGACCAGAACTGGGATAAATACCATAGAGAATTATACGTGTCGCATGCAACTATGCAACCATGTATTTAATTGACAAACAGAGCTGACCAATGAAAGCTAAGAAATAGAAATACTGGTAAACGCTTTCTACTGACAATGTCAATCAAGAACCTGGAGAAACTTCCGATGTCAAATAACGACGTTATTTGGACGAAAGCCGATGGTTAGAAAGCATCCAGAAAACGTCGATTTTTCGTTCAATGACCATATACGAAAACAACCGACGTTTTCGTATTTGCATGGCATGAGTATTGCCCCCTTTCTGGTTTCATTAAACGTTATTTCTATCTTGAATTGGTATTGATATTTGTTTTTTTTATTTACAGGTGTATGATCGACACACAAGCTATAAGAAAATAGAACCATTGGAAGGTTTTCAATAAAGCACATATTTGCTGATAGGACCATTAACGTTCACATGTCCTGATCATCAATGGTTCTGTGACCTACTACAGAGTCAAATTAAAGATGGGTATTTTACGAATGTTCATGAAATATAAAGTGTCAAGGGCAGTCGTTGCTGTCATCTGTGCACAGATCATCTTCCTCTTGATAGTGCTACTCCGAATGACCAACGCTTCCACCAGAGTGTCTTTGGAAGTTCCTGTCGATGGTTTAAAAATGGTTACATCTTTAACACATCTTGTGTACTCGTTCAACGCAACTAAACTGTTGGGGGCGTCAAAGTCGATGTCAAGTCTTAACAAAACCATTGATCATACATTGTATCCACACCGATATCTTGGTACGTCCTGTCACTTGAATACTACAAACAGATGGCTTCCTTTTGAACCTGGAGAAATAAGCCACCTCGATAAATGGTATTCCTCAATAGATTACTTCTTTTCAATAAACAACACCGAACCACTGACTCTACCCGAAGACGACGGTCCTAATTTGTATAAAGATTATGATTTGAAAAAGCCATGGAAATTTACTCTTCCAGATCTTGGTAACGAGGATTTCACGTTTATAAACGGAAAGCTAAAATGCTTTAAACCAGGTACATCCAAAGTGCAGGAGCAGGGTTCTAACGTGACCTGTGTGTGCAGCTCAGGTTATGCAGGGAAACATTGTTCTGTGCCAAGCATTGTGAAGACTGCCTTGTCCAAACTGTCACGCAGTTACATCATCACGCCAAGAGAAAAGCCACGACGGCTGATTCTAGCCATGACATTCAATATTGAGCATCATGTACTGATGCTGAAGATGTTACAGGTGCACTCAGCCGTGGATCTGTTTGTGATTCTGGAATCCAACTATACAGGACATGGAGATCCACGACCGTTAAGGTTATTACATAATTTGAGAAGAGGCTACATGAAGCGATTCCACCATAAGATAATGCATGTCTACCTGGACACATTCCCAGCTGGCGGACGATTGAATGGTTGGATAGCCGAAACTTACATCCGTCAGCACCTTGCACCTGCAGTAGAGGCCAGAGTCTCAGGGCTCAGAAAAGATGATTTATTCGTATTTATGGACACCGACGAAACGCCAATTGTAAACCTCCTGCACTTCCTCAAACTTCACAATGGCTATCCCTTCCCTGTTGGGTTTGTTCTTCACAGTTTTAAGTATGGATTCTTTTGGTCAATGACGAAGCACCCTAAAACGGTTGTAGGAGTGTGTAGTATTCAGATGCTCAGAGACATCTATAAAGGAAGTAGTGATGCTATTCGTGGAAGTAAAGGAGTGATACGACAGCTCCAGAAAGGAAATCACCCCTGGGGCATGTTTGAAACTTGGCTCATCGGATCACCTGACAACTATGCTGGGTGGCATGCATCATGGTTCTCCTCTCCACGGGAGGTTATCACGAAGCTGACTTCTGCTATTAATGCTGACTTCCCCCGATGGGGGGACTACCCAGAGAAATGCACATTTGACTACGTTGCTACTCTGTTTAGAAAAGGGGAATATTTTGATGGAAAGACACATTCCGATCCAATTTGCCTGACTGACATTTACGTATTGAAAGACCTGCCTTACCTGTTCAAGCATAAAGAATACTTTAATTTCATGTTACAAAACCCAACAGCCGCATGATACCATTTAATTATTTCTACATCTCCCAAAAAAGCACATGTAAGCAAAATAGTGTCGTATAACTGTATAATAATGAATTATATCGTTCGTTGATTTCTTACGATTGTAGTCATTGGTTACTGTGCAATAAATCCTTGATGAACTCATTCCCACCAACTGCGTTCAGTCAAAACCTAAAGAGTGAATCATGATCAAAATGCATTATATAGCAGACAATGGAACATCCACGTTAGGCCTCACTATTAATCATTATTTAATAGCCATTAACCCTTTTTGAGAAATATTTTTTTTCTGAAATCATCCAAGCAATGTTTCAGCTCCATCGGATGGATGCACGGATGACGGGCCTTGCGCTAGACGTTCTCAAACACACACACACTCACTCACTCACTCACTCACTCACTCACTCACTCACTCACAGAAAGTTAAATGGTGTTGACAACCAGTTGACAACCAGTAAATACAATCAAAACTGCAATCATGGTTAAATATTTGAATACTTTCACAATGATAAGACATGAACCACAATAGTTTCGACTACAAATGCATGTCATGTCATGTCGACCTTCAAAACCAGCCAACTTTGAGTCAGATAAACCTTGACCTGATATTACAACTGCCGTCCATCCCACATTCCGGCAAATACTATCGCTCTCAACAAGCAATATGTCATTATGGATCACAATCATAGATTATATGATATGTCTGGTCACTGGTCAATTTCAAGTGACACTTTTTCCGGAATTCGTCCTGAAAGAAGGACGGAAGATGTTTGATCATGATTGCTGGGACAGCAAGATGGGCCAGGACATGTAGAACAAGTCCTGGTGGTATCACTCATTTCCAGTGATCTGTTCATCTTCAGGTTATTTTGCCGTTTGCGCCCAATGGAATTTGTTTTGTGGGAAAGTCGTGACTAGTTGTTCTCTTGCCTCCGCTTTATATATTTACCCAAGTCATCGTGGGACGTTCAAGGTTTCATAAGCTGAATGCACATGAGTATGAAGGTCGAGGGGATGACACAAATGTTAAACTCGTAATATCCCTCGAACCCCTTAGTTTATACATGCGATGAGTTAATATTTATGAAGTTATTTTTTCTCCTAGTCGTCAACAAGATGGCGACTGCATGGCAAGAACCATGGACATATTTTATGATGCGGTAACATGACGCTTATCGAATCCTAGAAATGATTCTGTAACAAAACCTGCTGGAAGTATGCCTTCATGAACACCATATAATTGACAGGTGTTATTTTGCCTCTACATACAACCCATCCATGTTAAAACTCCTCTATGTACAACACACTCATCTAAGCACAAGTCATAGTATAAACACTGACGTTTACATACTTCAGTATTGAACATAATTTGGTCAGCACAACTCGATGTACAACACACTCACGTTAACCCGCCTGAATGTAAAACACACGCACGTCAGCATCCCTAAGATTTACAACTCTGTCATGATCATGCCACTGCGTAGAGGCACCAGAAGATCCTCACCAGAATGCCATCAAACTTGACAAAGCCACAATTCTCATCAGTATCACAGTCTGATACAATGTCCACGAGGCAGTGGACCAGTGAAGATCCTGGGTAGAATAGGTCTTCAGTAACCCATGCTTGTCGTAAGAGGCGACTAACGGGATCGGGTGGTTAGGCTCGTTGATGCATGTCATTGTATCCCAATTGCGTGAATCGATGCTCATGATGTCAATCACTGGATTGTCTGGTCCAGACTCGATTATTTACAAACCGCCGTCATATAGCTGGAATATTGCTGAGTGCGGCGTTAAACAACAAACCAACCAACCCAATTGCATGGATCGATGCTCATGATGTCAGTCACTGGATTGTGTGGTGCAGACTCGATTATTTACAGACCACCGTCATATAGCTGGAATATTGCTGAGTGCAGTATTAAACAACAAACAAATAAACAAACGTCAATGAGTCAAGTTGGACACATGGACCCTTGTACCTAGCACGTAATGGTAGACCAGGCACAAACACCAACATTTTATCACTGAAACTCCTCTCTTGTGACTTCTCTCCTGTTCTGATTAGATATGACTTTTTTGTCATAGTGTACTTTCATTTTGTCCTGAGATTATTTCATATTATCTCTAGCAACTCACAAGCTTGATAAAAAGCCATGCCTGGAATGATACACATACTCCAACAAAGTCCTTTCAGAGCTATCATTGACCCAATGCTCCTTTAAGTGATTTAAAGGTCCATGAACAGTGTGGCCAAAGACAAGGTCGAAAGGACTACAAGCTAAGGACTCCTACACTGACTCCAAAACAGCGAACAACAACAAATAAATGCCTTCATCCCAATCCTTCTCAGTCTCAAAACAGTAAATCCTCATCATATGAACTTCTCTTTGGCTCCCTGAGATTCGGGGTGAAAGGCACTAGACTTAAACTGAGTTATGCCCAACTGTTGCATAGCTTGTTGCAAAACCAGCCATAGTGAAGAACTTTATCTAGATAATCACCTGAGCCATAAGTTTCCATAAAGTGATAGCTCCTTGAAACCTTGTGGAAGCAAACATGAAAGTAAGCATGGACTGATTACCTGACCTAGTTTTTAGCAAATGACCAACGCAATCAATGATGGCCCTACTGGCATGTGTTTCAAGGTTGCTGCTGAGATATCCTGATTAGATCTGCCAATCATTGGACATATGTGGAAGGTTTTGCAAATTTCAGCCACGTCATGCCGCAAATTAGGCCAAAGAAATTACCTAGAATTTGGTCACAAGTTTTGTTCACCCCAAATTAGTTTCTTGTGGCAAACTCAAAATATGTTTTTCCATATGAATTGGAAGAACAATTTGAAGAAAAACATCTCATTCATTATCAGTAGGAACATCTGGTGGCCTCGATTTCGTTATCAAACCACTACTCTTTAAAAAACAGCAAACTGGAACCTCGTCAGCTACTTCTAAAGAAAGTGGTGACATTTCAGTGCAGATACATAGTATTTCCTGCAAGGGGCTATGCTTTCGATGGAAGTGTTATGCACTTTCGGTGTATTTACTTGTTTACTCTCGGCCTATTTACTTGTGTTTATGTCGAAATTACAAGAATGACCACTACAGTTGTACCTTCAAGTTTACCCTCGGCACACAAAAGCACACACATACACACACAAACACACACATGCATACTGCACACAAAGGCACAAATGCAAACACATAAACACACACATATGCACACACATAAACACATACAAACACACACACAATTACACGCATACACACATAAACATACATACACACACAAACACACGCACACATACACACATACATAAACACACACATACAAACACACGCAAACACACGCATATATATACAAACAAACACACACATACGAACTCACACATATACACGCATACGGACATATACACATACACACACTCACATACACACACGAACACACACATGAACTAACACACAAAGACACACACACAAACACATAAATACACACATATACACACATACACACACTCAAGACATACAAACACACACACACACACACACACACACACACACACACACACACACACACACACACACACACTGGAAAATTAACGGTCTCTCCACTTCAAAAATTAAATGGTCGGTTCTCACCCACAATCCAATGGCATAGTGTTGACAAACAAAATTACAATCAGGGTTAGATAGTTGCATACTTTTTCATTGCAAAAACAACATGAATCACAACAGTCTCATTTACAAATGTCTCTTTCTCATGTACAAATGTCATCTTGACCTACACAACCAGGCAACTTTATACCAGATAAACCTTGACCCGCATGCGTTCCTCACCTGATATACAGGACAACTGCCGTCTATCCTACATTCCGGCAAACAATGTCGTTCTCAACAGGCGAGATGTCACTGTGTGTGGCAATTATAGTTTATATGTTGTGCCTAGTCACTGGTCAGTATCAAGTGACAATCTTTCAGGATTTCGTTCTCAAAGGAGGACGGAAGAAGTTTGATCCTGATCGCTGGAACGGCAAGATGGGGTTTGATAAGCCCAGTATCATCCAGTACGTGAAGAAAACTGGTGCCAGTGCTGCACGCTGGAACAAAGGAGATATTGGAGCCTTTGAGAAGGTAGATGGTGTGGTCATATTAAGTGTTCTGCTGCTGGTAGGGCAAGACATGCTTACCCTTTTCGCGAACACCAGTTGTTATCATTGATTTGTAGTGATCAATCATATAATCTTCTCCGCAATTTTGCCTTTTTCCCCCCAATGGAACATGTTTTGTGGGAAAATCGAGACTGGTTATTCGTTAGTGTTGATGTTATATATTTACCCGAGTATGTGCTGGGACGTTCAAGCTTTTATTACCTGAATAAACACGAGGATGAGTGAGTGAGTGAGTGAGTTGGGTTTAATGCCGCTTTTAACAGTATTCCAGTTATATCGCGGCGTGTCAGCTTAATGTAGGAGGAAAGCCCGAAGTGATGCAGGTCTCAGACGTTTACCACTTCGGTGAAACCCACGAGCACGGGTATGGTGCTGACAAACCTAGAAACATAATCGGGGCGAACCGGGATTCGAACCCACATTAATAGGTTTCTGGCGTGCCCAAGGGACGCAACTCTGCACAGCGAATTGCAGCACCTTAGACGACTGGGCCACCCGTGCCCCCAACACGAGGATGAAGGTCGAGGTGTTGATACAAACGTTGAATTCGTGATCGAGTTTATTTTTTACAAAACGTTATTTTTGTGCTAGGATCATGGACAGATATTAGGACAAATATTGTTAATATATCACTGCAACGCTTATCGAATCCTAGCAATGAATTTGAAAAAAATGAAAAATGCTATAAGAATGCCTTTATAGCCCCATATAATAAAAAAAATGTAACAGATTTTATTTTGCCCCTACATACAACACATCCTCGTCAACAAACCTCGACGTACAACATAACTAACGTTAGTAGACATCGATGTACAGCACACGTCAAAACACCTTGATATGCAACACACTACAGCACAAATCAATGTACAACACATGCTAACACACCTTGATGTACGACACACTCACGTTGGTAATACTCGATGTACAGCATACTAGCGTTGATACACATCAATGACCAACACAATCAGTG